GTTTGAATACTATAGGCCAGGTGGCCTACTTCAGTAGATGGTTATATCGGAGTGGAAGTGGGAGCACATCACCATGGATTTTGTAGTTGGGTTTCCGCGGACGTTGAGGAGGTTCGATGATTTTTGGGTCACTGTCGACAGACTGATCAAATCTGCACACTTTATTCTGGTGGTGAATGCGTACTCTTCAGAGAGGTTGACCCAGATTTAAATCCTGGAGATTGTCTAATTGCATGGTATGCGTATCTCTATTATTTCAGATAGAGGCCTTCAGTTTACTTCACACTTCTGGAGAGCAGTACCGTGTGAGTTGGGCACCCGGGTAGAGCTTAGCATAGCTTTTAATCTGCAGACCAACGGGCAGTCAGAGCGGATGGTTCAGATTCTAGAGGATATGCTTAGAGCATGTGTTATTGACTTCGGAGGGCAATGGGATCGATTCTTACCATTGGCCGAGTTTGCTTATAATAACAATCATCAGTCTAGCATCGAGATGGCTCCATTCGAGGCTATATATGGTCGGCAATGTCCCCGTCGGTTGGTTTGAGCCTGGTGAGGCTAGGTTATATGGTACTGATTTGGAAAAGGATGCCTTAGATAAGGTGAAGTTAATTCATGAGCGGCTTCGCACAACACAGTCCAGACAGATGAGTTAAGCGAATCAGAAAGCATGTGACTTATCATTTATGGTGGGTAAGAAAGTTCTCCTGAAGGTCTCGCCGATGAAGGGTATCATGAGGTTCGGAAAGAAGGTTATGCTGATTCCGAGGTTTATTGGCCCATTTGAGGTCTTGAAGCGAGTTGGGGAGATTGCTTATGAGCTTGCTTTGCCTCCCAATCTATCAGGATTTCATCCGGTTTTCTATGTGTCTATGCTCCAGAAGTACCATACCGACAGGTCGCATGTTTTAGACTATAGCACAGTTTAGCTAGATGAGATCTTGGGTTATGTGAAGGAGCCAGTTGCCATTTTTGACAGGCAGGTTCGCCAATTGAGGTCTAAGAAGATTGATGCGGTAAAGGTCCAGTGGGGGGGCCAACCAGTCAAAGCGGCGACTTGGGAGGCCGAGGAAGACATGCAAGCAAATATCCTCACTTATTCAGCACTCCAGGTATGATTCTAGACCTGATAGAGGACGAACGTTTGTTTAAGAGGTGGAGAATGTAACGACCTGACCGGTCGTTTTGCTTTACAGATCCCCATTCCCCTATTTAAGACTTCTCGTATGTGCATTTACTATTTTTTTACTTGCGGGGGTAGTTGGTTTGGTTTTGGAAGGGTTCGGGTTGAATTCGGAACACGTTCCATAATAGTGGCCTAAGGTGGCCGAGTTTGACTTGAGTCAATGCTTTGAGTAAACGACATCAGAATCGGGATTTAAAGGTCTAAATAGGTTCATATGATGATTTTGGACTTGGGCGTATGTTCGTATCGAGATTTGGGTAGGCCGAGAGCGTTTCGGCGCTTATTATTGAAAGTTGGCATTTTGAAGGTTTTAGAATTTCCTACGGTTTTAGAATTTCCTAGGTTTTAGAATTTTAATGTTAGTTGTGGCTCTTCGAGCCTAGGTTTAAAGATTGATTTTATCGTCAATTCGTGATTTTGATGTTTGTTTGTGTGGTGATGTTCGCGAACGCTGCTGAGTTAGATTGGTTGGCCTGGGTTTGGAAGGTTATTCGTCGCGAACACTTGGTCATGAACATGATCGCGTAGGGTAATTTCTAAGGTTGGGGTTTATTGCCTTCGCATTTGCAGGGATTGGCTCGTGTTCGTGTACGCTCGCCTGCTAAGCTTCGCGATCGCGAGCTATTTATCGTGTTCACGTATGAGTATTTCGGGGCGAGGTTTATGTGATCTTCGCGATCGCGTGGGCTTTTCCGCGATCGCGTAGAAGGACGCCTAGGCAGATTTAATGTTAGCAAGGTCGGGATTTTCTAATTTTCAACTAATTTAGCCCTAGCTTTCACGATTTTTGGGCGATTTGGAGGAGCCATTTTCATCATCAATCTTGAGGTAAGTGATTTCTTCATATTGTGATCTAAAATCATGGATTATATATGGATCTAAATATGGAATTTGTTCAAATTTGGGGATTTTGGAAGAAAACCTAGAATTTGATATTTTTGGATTTTGACCACGTAATTGGACAAGAGATTAAGAATAAATTATATATTTGAGTTCGTGAGGTCATGGGTGACGTTTTATTCGAATATTTTCGAAATCCAGGCACGTAGGCCGGGGGTGACTTTTATGGACTTTCCGAATTTGGTTCGGAAATTAATTGGGTAGTTAAATTATGAAATTTTGAACATATATTTATTAGTCTATACAACTTTTGATTAGTTTCGGATTTCTCGCCGTCGTTTGAGGAGTTCTAGTGAGGTTAAAGAGACGGATTGAGGACTTGGAAGTGAGGTAAGTCTCTTGACTAACCTTGTAAGAGGTAATTTATCCCCTTAGGTGTATTGATTGTTGTGTGCTACTTGTTGTAGGGAGCTACATACTCACGGGGTGGCGAGAATCCGTATGTATCTATATCTATGTTATGTCCGATTAGACTTAGATTCACATCATGTCTTAATTGTGTTATTCGTACCCATCCTACGTATTTGATTTCTTTAATTTATGACTGAGATTGAAGTTAGAATAAAATATTGTCTTAGCCTCTTACTATGGAAAATTGTGAATTACTTGATGAGCTATAGATCCATGTCTTCTCGACTCACATGTATTTTTGCGAGCGAGGTAATTTATCTACTCTAATGGGATCGGGTTGTTCGCCCCGGCGGGGATGTAAATTAGTATTATGGGATCAGGCCATTCGCCTCGGCAATATAGTTACACTTTTCTTGTGGAATCGGGTCGTTCGCCTCGGCAGTACTGAGTGTCACTTTCCTATGGGATCGGGTCGTTCGCCTTGGCAGACTCATGCTTAATACTTGAGATATGAATTGATTATGATAACAATTGAGTTAGAGCCTTCGAGGCTGCTTATGACATTTAGTGATTTGATATAGGTCCATCTTGGAGATTTACTATTGATGCTTTGTCTGTTTCATTTCTACTTGTTGTACATCCTCCATGTCTACTTTATGTATTTTATTACTTTTTGACCACTAGTAAGTGTCAACTCGACCCCTCTCACTACTTCTTCGAGGTTAGACTAGATACTTACTGGGAATGCATTGTTTTACGTACTCACGCTATACTTCTACACTGAATGTGCAGGTACTAAGACATGAACTTCCAGTAGTCACATGGGCGCGTAGCCGCACTTCCACGGAGACTTAGTAGTGAGCTTCTTGCCTTGCTTAGATCTGCAGCACCGGAGTCTCCCTTTACATTGTTTATTGTTTATCTCTATTATACTTTGGACAGTAGTTGTATGAGTTTTGTATATTTTATAGATTGCTCATGCACTTGTGGCACCGGATTTTGGGGGCTTCTAGCATTTATGTACTGTTGTACTTATTATTACTATCACCATGGTTTATGTATTCCTCACACTTGAAATTTTTAACAAAGTGGTATGTACGGTTGCATGAGATCTTACCTATTTCGGTGTTTTAAAGGAAACTTCTATTTTTAATAGTTAAAAAGGGTTAATTAAATTGGAGGTTCACGTGTGGGCTTGCCTAACGGCAGTGTTAGGCGCCATCGCGACCTATTACATGTTTTGGGTCGTAACACAAAGAATATACAACTTGAAATATGTGACACAAAGAATATACTACTTGAAGCATTGTGATACAAAGAATAGAAGTTGTAGTATTGGAGAACCTGTAATCCTTCAAGTAATTGATCAAGTCCGCTGTGGTTGGAACCTGAAGATATCCCCAGAATAGTCGCCATGTTATTGTACTCTATTTTACACAAGTCAAAACAACTTAAAACATACGGTACTCTACAAGGTTATTTAAAGTTTATAGTCGCCACCAAGTATTTAAGGTACACTAGGACACATATACTACACAATATAATGTATACTTTGATTATGGTATGCGGAACTATAGATATTCTAGGTAAGGGTTCAAATTCTCTCAAGGGGTAGGTATTAGGCATCTCTCGAGATCCAGAAAATGTGGTTTCGGTGGACTCAATTAACTAAAAGAGGGATTAAGTGAACAGTTATCTGCAACTACTTTGGAAGATAATTTTAGCAAAATCGATTTATCTTAAATAGTATGTAGTACGATGTAAGTATTCATATATGTAGGAAAATATGCGTAATAAGATAAATAAACAAGTATGAAAGTCATTATGCTTACAAATAAATACAAGAGACGTATATTAACAACTAAACAATTTGAACTTAAAAGAATAAAGAAATTGTCCAATGGGTAATCGCTTTGAATAAGATATGTAAAAGAATGTTTATCTGTTATGATTTAAGAGAAGGAGAAGAGAATCCTTTAATAAATAAATAGCTAACAAAACAATTGGTTAGGAATAAACAAAGTATGAAATAAATTACTAACAGGAATGAGCAAAAGGATTATTTTCACATAAAATCAAGGAATGTATAATGTAATAAAGCTTTCAAAACCTTTAAAGGATTTGATAAAAATTATTAATTATGGTAAAACTATGTTGATAACTAACAAAGGATATATACAAATTAATCAACTTAAGTATAGAAACTCGATAAAATTATCAATGAAAAAGAACCTAATATTTTCATGGAAGTATATAGAGTCCGATTTATTTACAAGTAGCAAGTTACTTGAGTTATTTACTACGTTATGAATATTTGAACAACTAAATTAATGATTAACGTTGCATGATATTCTAAATGTAGCTAATCTAACATATCCAAGTGAACATAAACTAAATGCATCGGTTAATGAATGAATGAGTGCGATATCTAACTAATTCTTAACTATACTTATGTTTTGAGTACAACCAAGAAAGAAAATTATGAAGCGGATAGTTTGATGAAGGGATTTGTGCTTCGTCTCTGAGCGCCGTCTTGCCAAATTGCTTATGGATAAACTACCTCGCAGAATAAGACAACAAACGTTAGTGAAATAAAATTATGTAAAAATAAACTATTCAAGTGACATATTTTTAAACGATTGTTTTGTTCGAAAATGTTTTAAAAAATTATTTTTGAAAAAGGTTTTGGAAAATAGTCAAGAAATATTATAGGAGGCTCAGATAGTATTTTTTATTTCCGTTTAGACATAAGACTAAGAACCGTCTTAGTTGCGACTAAGGTGGACAATCTTGTTGCCGTCCAAATGTTATTGGTTCGTCGCATTTTTGTCTCTTTCTTTCCTATGTTATCATCATCGCCTCTTTATTTCGGACCCAGTCTGGAGGGTCAATTGGCGGGTCGTAGCCTCAATAACGTAGAAATTATTTTCAGCAGCCTATTCTTGTGGTATTATTGTATTGTATAACTCCAACCAATATCTGTCATCAAGAGGCAACGAGAATAGGAGCAACATATTACCACAAATTAATCAGAAGACAAAAAAATATCATAGTAGCAACAACAAAATCAGTAAAGGAATGAAATTCCTCTTAGCGTGGAAGTACAAATCAATGAAAACTAAGTTCAATAGCTAACAGCACCCAAGAGGTGAAACATCTCCAGCCAAAATCGATGAAAAACAGTGAGCCAACCTGATATCTCCCTTGATGTAGCCACTCAAAAGATTTGTCGTTCTTTTAGCACTAAAGATAATGAAATCAAATGTTGATACTCAAAAGGACATTACAACTTAAAAGCAGTGGCCATGTTATTCAAAAACAGTAAAAGCCACAACACAAGCAGCCGAAGAAATATCAATAAAACACTAGCAACCCAAGATAGAAATTCGCCGAAAACCTAAAGCCGACCAAAATAGGAATGGAAAAATACAAAAACTTCACTGAAAAATTAATACCGGCCATGTACGAGGACAAACCCAGATTTGAGGATTCCTTTTAATGGATGCTGCCACCATGGTTTTAGCTTGAGCAGCGGCACAAAGGAAGAGAATGGCCAGCGTCGTCGGAATCCCATTTCTCCGTCCAAACATTTCCAGGTCCGGATTCACCAATAGCAGGCCTAAAATGAGAATAAAAGGCAAAGGGTTACAAGAACCAAAAGAAGGGGGGAACATGGGAGCTCGTTTGGCTTCGCCGGTGACAATGGAGGGAGTGGTGTGAGAAGCGGTGGAAGCCATGGAAGTCGCTGTCAAGCCTGCCTGGGTCAAGGCCGGTGGCGGCAAAAGGGAATGAGACAGTTGAGAGAGGTATGGGGTTGGCTGTGGAGAGGACGGGGAGCCGCTATTGAGATCTTTTAGAGAGAGAAGGGGAGTTGGGAATAGGGGATGTGGTTGTTCTCTCTAGAGTGAGTATAAGAGATAAGAGAAAAAATATTTAGGGTTTTAAACCTATGTAGAAAATCTGATTTCGTATGATGTGTAGTGTATTATAGGTGAAAAATAAAATATTGGATGTGGGGTAGAAAACATAGGGGTTAAGATTTAGAGTAGAACAAAATAGGTAGGTCTTTACCCATCGGATAAAATATGTTATGTCACGTCAGTATGACTCGTCACATCAATATGACTTGTCATATCATGTCTAGTCATATGAAATGTCTTGTCACGTCGGATGCAGACGGGATATTGGTTTTGAATAGACTTGATTCGTATTTTGAAATAAATTCTACTGGCTTCCATAAAATTAATATATTGTGTCATAAATTAAAAGATGATTATTAATTAGAAAATACGGCTTGTATTATTTATTAAAAATGCCACCTAATATAATAACATTGTATGATTATTATTTATTTTTTAAAAGAATAATAAATTCATAAAATATCCTAATATTTAAAAAATAGGACAATTATCAATAAATTATTTAGAATTTAGAAAAATGCACAAAACTGGTACTCCCTCTGTTTCAATTTATGTGAACTCATTTGACTGGGTACGGTGTTTAAGAAAAGAGAAAAGACTTTAAACTTGTGGTGTAAAATGAGTGTGATAACCCGATAGGTCATCTTATGTTTTAAAACCTAATTCTGTAATCTAAAGCCTTAAAAATCTCATTTTTACCTTCCTTGAGTTCCGTGCGCACTCCGGGCGCATTTTCGGAAAGCTTTTATGTTAAAAATTGTGAAAAGTATGAAAGTTTGCTTAAAACCATTTGAGTTAACTTTGGTCAAGATTTTGAGTAAACGGACCCGCATCTGTATTTTAATGATCCCGGTAGGTCCGTATCGTAATTTGGGACCTGGGCGTATGCCCGGAATCGAATTCCGAGGTCCCTAACTCGAGATATGGAATTTTGATGAAAAATTAAAAGTTAAAAGTTTAATAATTTTAAGAAATGATTGATGTTTGGTTTTGCTGATATCCGATCCGTATTTTGGTTCCGGAGCCCGGTACAGGTCCACTATAATATTTATGACTTGTGTGTCGAATTTGGTGAGAAACGGAGTTGATTTGATGTGATTCGGACGTTCGGTTGTGAAAATAAAAGTTTTAAAGTTTTCTTGAAAATTTCATTTGATTTGGTGTCTGATTCAGAGTTCTAGGCGTTATTTTGGTGTTTTGATCGCGTGAGCGAGTTCGTATGATGTTCTAGGACTTGTGTGCATGTTTTGTTTGGAGCCCCGAGGGCTCGGGTGAGTTTCGGATAGGCTACGGGGTAATTTGGACTTAGATAAATCTGATTTTTTGCCTCAGTTGATATCTGGTGTGTTCTTCTTCGCGTTCGCGAAGGTACTCTCGCGAATGCGAAGAGTGAACTGGACTGGGGAAGATTTTCTTCATCGCAAACGCGGTAGATGGGTCCCGAACGCGAAGCAATGGGGGCCTTACCCTTCGCGAACGCGACCAGCTTCTCGCGAACGCGAAGCTTGAGGGACCTGGGGGAGGGGGCACTCATTCTTCTACGCGAACGTGAGCACTGGCTCGCGAACGCGGAGGCCAGGGGAAACAGCTTTCGCGAACGCGAAAGCCATTTGGGCTGCTGCACATCGCGAACGCGGCAGGCCTGACGCCCATACCTTAAAACAGAACCAAAACGGGATTTTACCCATTTTTCATAAACTCTCCATTAGAGCTCGGCCTAGGTGCGATTTTAAAGAGAAAACTCAACATCAATTCATAGGTTTGTACTATTTAACTCATTTTCTTCCATTTCTATCATCACCCATTAAATTCCTAGCCCTAATCTTTGTTCTATCATGGTAGAAAACTAGGGATTTAGGAAGAATTGGGGGGTTTTGTAAATTGGGGATTTAGACCTTAATTTGGGGTCGGATTTCGAACTAATTATATAATCGGGCTCGGGGGTGAACGGACAAATGGATTTTAGTCCGAACCTTGAGTTTTGACCAAGAGGGCCCGGGGTCGATTTTTGACTTTTTGGGGGAAAGTTTAGGGAATCTAAAATTATGAATTGTAATTGATTTATTTAGCAATATTTGATATTATTGAGTCGTTTGTGGATAGATACGAGTGGTTTGGAGGTGGATTCTAGAGGAAAAGCAGTAATTGAGCATTGAGTGGCCTTTGGAGCGAGGTAAGTGTTGTGTCTAACCTTGACTTGAGGGAGTAGGACTTGTTTGTCTATTTGCTACATGTTTAAATGCTGGGAAACAACGTATATATGAGGTGACGAGTACTTTGCGTTGTACTCGGGTTAAAGCATGCGGGCGGGGGCTTGGTTTCTTGCAATTATAGCTTCCTTTGTTCATGTTATCCATGTTTAGACTAGTATTGTTAAATTGGTCGTTCTTATCATGTTTATGGGCCTTATGGTGATAATAGAGTATGGATTCCGAAGTTGAGGTTGATATTGTGGGACCAAATATTGAAGTAAGGGTTGTACTTATTATTCTATCTCCCTATTGTTAATTGTTCATTGCATTATGGTAAGGGAGAGTGTTAATGCACGAAGGGTGATGCCGTGCCATATGGTGAGTGTTAGTACACGAAGGGTGATGTCGTGCCATATTGTGAGTGTTAATGCACGAAGGGTGATATCGTGCTACATTATGAGGGTTAATGCACGAAGGGTGATGTCGTACCGTTCCTATTGATCTGATGGTGAGATTGAGAGTAAAAGCATGAAGGGTGATGTCGTGCATTTTTCCTTTACTGTGTTTATTGATTCTTATTGATTCATAGTACATTGACTGTTCAAGTTAACATTCTACTGCAGTTCTCTATCTCGTATTTCCCTCAGCATGTTCCCCCCCAATAGTACATGTTTAGCTATTACTGTTGTTTTCTTGTACATATACTGTTATTTGCACAGATTTATTATGTGGGTGTCTTGTCGTAGCCTCGTCATTACTTCGTCGAGGTTAGACTCGACACTTACCAGTATATGGGGTCGGTTGTACTGATACTACACTCTGCACTTCTTGTGCAGATTTTGGTACCGGTCCTAGCTGATCGTGAGGCTTAGCATCTTGTATTGCTGTCAGGAGACCCAAGGTAGATCTGCTGGCGTCCGCAGACCTTGGAGTCTCTTCCTAGTTTTTATCATTTACTGTTTCCTTACTCCAAAACAGTGTATTTGTTTCCTTTTCAGACTCTGTTTGTAGTAAATCATAGTAGCTCGTGAGTTGTGACTCCAGATCCGGGTGGTAGTAATTAACGAAGTTTTTATATTATTTCGCACTCGCTGTATTCCATTTTAGCTTATTTGTTGTTATTTCCTGAATTGAATAAGAATTGGCTTAATAATTCTCTAACGTCGGCTTTCCTAGCAAGTGGAATGGTAAGCGCCATCACGGTCCCGACGGTGGAAATTCCGGGTCGTGACAATGAGGCACATATATTTTGTATGGTTATAAATCATTGCATAAAATTATTTCCAAATAGGAAAAATGTTCATTATTTTTGGCACGGACAAAAAAGGAAATACGTTCACATAAATTCAAAGGGAGGGAGTTGTATTTAATTATTTGCAATGAAATAATAATAGTTCGTGTATTTTGTAAAAATAGGAATAATTATCAACAAATTGCATAAAAGTTAAAAGATGTGCAAAATACTATATTTTATCATTTTTGACTAGGAAGCATGCATAAGTTAATTTTTAAATACCAAGGGCCAAAATTAATTCTTAACGACTGTCACGACCCCAATTTTCCTCGGTAGGATGTCGTGATGACACTTAGTCTCTAAGACTAGGTAAGCCTAACACTTAATGAATTAAATGAAAGAACTAAACCAAAACAACTATTAAACATAAACCATATATTTCTATATAAAGCCAACAATCCCAACATGATACAATATCCCAAAACCGGTAGTACAAGTCATAAGCTCTATTGAGTTCACTAGAAAAATTTCTAAGTACCACTTTTCCGAAATAAAAATAAACCGTACAAAATAACTTCAGAAGGTGACTCTAAGGCCTGCGAACGCGATGGCAGATATACCTTGAAGTCTCGACAGCAATATCTGATCAGCTATCTAATGATCAACAAACTCCGAAGTACCTGAATCTGCACAAAAATGTACCGAAAACGTAGCATGAGTACACCACAATGGTACCCAGTAAGTATCAAAATTAACCTCGCCGGAGTAGTGACGAGGAACAGTCAAAACACCTACTAGACATAATAATATGTACAAGTATAAATGTGAAAACTAACAGGGAACAATATCAATATAAGGCTAAGCATGGTAAAACGACAATAGTACTTGCAATATAAAACTAGAAGCAATAATTACCAACAAGGAACAAACAGATAATAACGCTGTAGAGTAAGCTGAATACAGTCAAGGTCCGGTAAACAAATTAAGGAAAACCAGGTAGCAACCAAATAAACAACTGCTTTCACACAAGATTTATACAAGAACTTTCCCGAGGTACCACACCTTTTCACCATAATTCGCGGGTCCCAAATCACGAATCCTTATCACTTGGCATCTTGTGCCCACATTACAAATCACAATCGCACGGACAACTCACATGTTGCACGGACAACACACGTGCCAATACCATTAATACCTCATATCTGCACGAACAACTCACGTGCTAAGGGAGTGACAATACCTCATATCCGCACGGACAACTCACGTGCAAGCAATAGCAATAACTCATAACCGCGCGGACTACTCACGTGCCAATAGTACAACTCTCACACAGAAGGCAAGTACCCGAGAATATATGTAAATGATCAATACACATCAGGGTTCATCTTCTTAAACCGATATGAGTGGTTAATTACGTGTATGTTTGTGCAAGTGTTCTATCAAAACTCGAGTCAACAGCTGAGAATATAGACAACAAATGACACAAAGTAAATAACATAAAAAAGCATAAAATGCATGACTCACACAAGGTAGACACACCACTACACAAATATCATCAAATAACAATGCCCCAAGGCCATCACAAATCATCCCCGACATAGCCTCTTT